AGAGGCAGTGCGACTGGCACAGGAAAGAGCAGGGTTTAGGGCTGTTGTACATAGGGTCGCTATGAGTCGCAAATGACTTGATGGCACATAACAACAACAACAACTGTGCTTTTAAGTGCACCTTGTTATAAATAATAGGTTTTTCATTGTTAACACCGTTCTTGAAAATCAAAAGACTTGTTGCACTGGGAAAATCCACTGGCAAGGAGCTCTCCAAAATCTCAAGGAGTAATGAATGATTAGTTTAAAGACCAAGTTTAGCCTGATGCAAGCCATAGTGGTCTTTTAAATCACCAGCTATGCACCTGAGATCAGGACAATGAGCAGCAATGACAAAGAAGAACTAATGCCTTTGATTTGTTCTGGAGGAGTACTGAATATCCCATGGACTGCAAAAAGAACAAACAGGGCTTCTTGTGGCCATCACCGAAGCGGCAGTGGCCAAAATGAAGTTCAATCCTTTTGTGACTTTTTACCGGAGCAAAAACCATAAAAGGCATTTCCATGCACCCCCTTACATTCGAAGGAAGAGTATGTCTTCTCCAATGTCCAAGGAGCTGAGGCAGAAATACAACGTGCAGTCCATGCCCATCAGAAAGGATGATGCAGTTCAGGTGGTATGAGGGCACTATAAAGGTCAGTAAATTGGCAAAGTAATCTAGGTTTACAGGAAGAAATATGTCATCTACACTGAACATGTGCAGCGAGAAAAGTTAATGGCACAATGGTCCATGTGGGCATTCATCCCACCAAGGTGGTTATCACTAAGCTAATACTGGATAAAGACAGAAAAAAGATCTATCCTTGAACATAAAACCAAATCTTGCCAAGTTGGAAAAGACAAGGGCAAATACAAGGAAGAAACAATTGAGAATATGCAGGAGTAAAATATTATTAACACAACTTCATTAAAAATGGGGGGAGGAGGGAAGAACAAACAGGTCTATCTTGGAGAAAGTGCAGCCAAAGTGCTTGCGGGAGACAAGGATGGCAAAGCATCACCTCACATATATTAGGCATGTTGTTAAAAGGCGCTATTCAAAGCCCCTGGAGAGGGTCAGAGAGTCAACAAAAGAAAGGAAGACCCTCATAAAAATGGACTGCACTGACACAGTAACCGGGCTCAAGTTTATCTGAGATAAGGAGGATAGGGTTCAGGTCTGAGGCTCACAGGGCTGCTATGAGTCATAGGTACACTCACCTCGATGGCACCTAACAACAACAACAATGGATCTCTTAACCTGGAGTTAGAGAGTTGCTTTCTCCTTAGAATATTAGTACATCAACTAAAACAAAGAACCTAAACCATCTACTCCAATGGAAACATTTTAAAAACGCAATTACAAATGTTGACCAGTTATTAATGCTTAATCTTCACAGGAAAATGGATTAGTTCAAATGAAAAGTTATGTATAACCAGACTTTTTATGTGAAGAACTAGACTAAAAGATTTCATCTTAAAGTGCTTACCAATGAGTCTATCTAAAATGTCTTAATAATTAAAACGACTCCAATGTAGGGGGAAGCAATGTTACCATTTCCTATACACCCACTTATCAACATGGTTAGGTCCCAAAGATCAGGTCATCATGTGAAGACTGCAAATGAAAGATAACCACATTGGATCACAAAATGGAGAATGACTGTACCATTATTTACCTGTCAAAATTACATTCTGACCACTGCGAATCATGGCCTAGTCAAAGACCCACATAACCTCAAGCAGGCAGTGTAGAAAATTTTAAGAGAACAGACTTTTCACTATTGTTACAAACACAAAATGTTGGATAACAAGATAGGTGATATTTAAGAATTACTGTTGTTATGTACCATGGAGTTGACAGGGCCTCACAGCAACCCTGTGAACAGTATTGCTTAATTATGCCCTATCTTGCACCAATCTCACTGCCTCCTACACACCTACCACCATAATCCTAATTACATATCAATCCATCTCGTTGAGAGTCTTCCTCTCCTGTGCTGTCCCTCTAACCCTTCCTAGTATCATGCCCTTACTCTGCATAGCAAGTAAATGCGGAGATCATGGCTTGGATAAGGCATACCTCAGTCTCTAGACTGACATCGTTGCTCTCCAGCACTCTGGAGAGGTCTGTAACAGCAGATTTTCCTAATGCAACTGGTCTTTTGATTTCCTGACTGCTGGTGCCAAGAGTGTTGATTGTGGAACAGAGCAAGCTGAAATTGTTAACAATCTTAATCTCTTCTCCATTTATTATGCACTAGTTTGTTATGTGCTGTCAAGGCACTTGATTATGCACTATACAAACTAATAAAAACAACAGGCATACAGAAAGTTACAAACAAAGTTTAAAAAATATTTTGCTACTATTTTTTTAAAGACCTTACATGCATTTCACAATATTATCTTGTCAAGGACCTCTCCTAAGTTCTAAAGAGCAAGGAAGCCAGTTAAAAGACTAAGATATGCCTGATCCAAGCCATAGTAATTTCAATTGCTTTCAGTGTAGCTGAAAGTTGGATGATGAAAAGACGACTGAAAAAGAACTGATGTCTGTGAATTGTGGTGTTGGCAGAGAGTACTAGATAAACAGACCAGACTGCTAAAAACTCCAACTATATCTCAAATGAAGTCTAACCAGAGTGCTCCTTAGAGAAAGTACAGTGACTTTCTCTCACTTTGGGCATATTTTCATGAAAAAACCAGTCCCTAGAGAGACAACATGCTGGAAAGGTAGTCAAAGAAAGAGAGGAAGCCCCTTAATGAGATTAAATGACACAGTGACTATGTTAAGGGGCTTAAGCATGACAGATCAGTGACAGTGCAGGACAGATTTGTTGTTTATAGGATCACTGAAAACTGTAGTCAAGTTAACAGCTCCTAACAATAATAACAATATTCTGAGATCAAAATAAAAAAATTGACTGCCATTTGCTTTCAAGGCTGTAAACCTTTACAGGGAGACACTACCCAGCTTATCACACAAGAGCAACTGATATATTCAAACTTTTGGGTTAATAGTGCAATGCTTTACATCTAAACCACCAGAACTCTGTCTATTCCTCGATAGGAGCCTTATGTCCACTTTACATATGGAGGTATAAGAAACTCACTGAGTAAGACGCAATGTATGGGGATAATTTTAAATTTAAGAAACATAATGTGAAGGGGGGGAAGGAAACTCACAAAATATGTAACAATTCCAAAGTCACATAATAAAAAGCCCAGACAGATATGAAGGACTCCACAGTTCATTCTAATTATTTTTTAATTCACTGAAAATGACACAGAATTGCTGGCAAGAAAAAGGCACTTCTCAAAAAATCTAAATAGGTGACAAGAAAACAGTTCACTTCCAAACCCCCAGGAACCTGACATATCAATACAGAAAAATGAGTAAATTACTTACCATATTTGTAGTTTGATCTTCTTTCCTTGTAATTCAACTGTTTTGATCTTAAAGTCTATTCCTACAACACAGAAAAAAAAAGATAAGTTTTTACAGTGGTTCTACAATTTGCCATACTAAAATTAACTACAGTAAAAATTGTGTTTGTTTGGCTATGGATCATCACTAAGTAAACAATTCAGAGAACTGTGCCCAATTTTAAATCTGTAAGATCCAGGATAGCATAAATAATAGCTACCAAAAAAAAAAAAAAAAGAGATTTTAAAATATATTAGAAGATGTAAAAAAAAAAAAAAAAAAAAAAAACCCCAACCAAAAATACCACCCCAAACCAATAAGGTATTTGATTGATTTGTAAAAATAAAGACATTTTCTAGTTGGAAAAAAAATGTTTAAGAGTTATTAAAGAACAAAAGAGTCACTGCTTAATCATAAAAAGGTAAATTTATTAGAGTTAAAGGTTGGCACGGAGAAGGAGTTGTTTGATATTACAGGAGGTTGTTACAGCACTATGAGACTTAAAATCCTGTATTGTTATCAATGAAAACACAGCCCCAAAATCAGTTAATAGGAGTCGGTATGCTTAAAAATGTTTTCTCTACTACTTAAATATCTCAATTTAATCATCACTCTCTATGAATAAAGCATCTTTATTTCTTAGCATCACCGTAATGTATTTACCCAAATCTCATCCACCTACCCTCAGTCTCCTCCTTCAGTCACATTCAAACACAACTTTTATGGTTCAGTATTTTCCCCAGGTACCTCTGCCTCTCTAACATGTGTTTTCTGTACCTCTAAACACACACTTAAGCATGGAAAAATTTATTGTTAAAATAAATACAGTAGTAAAGGATTTGATAAATTTAAGGATAAGAAAAATCATAACTCAGCTGCTAAAAGAAGCTAGGAAAACACACACTCCCACCCTTAAGATTCAGCCAGCAGACAATCCAGCAACACTATCATTTGCTTAATTACTACAGACGAGAAGAATAATAGGGTTTGAACCAACTAGTGATTCCTTTTTTTAGATTCTGCTTACATAAAAAACCACACTAGGGAAAATTCTCACTTTTCATGGATTGTTGGAACCTGGACCCAAGGGTATTTCACTTCATCACAGACTAACTCATTCATCCATTTTCAGCTGCTCAGGAAAATAAAGTATCAGGCAATGTATTTGCCTTAATGACGCTGCAGAAGCACCATCCAGTGGCAAAAGAAACAAATGCAGCTTTCAGCCACTCTTAAGCAGTAATTCTCTAAAGGATACCTTCTGATGACATGTAAACACATGTAAATTAGTTAAAAAAAATTTATAATAAACTCCAAGACAATCAATGTTTAAGTTTATAGCTAAATGATCAATATATGTAATTTTAATTCAAGTAAAAAAAAATCAAGTATTTTATCCAATACATCTGCCAATAGCTAAGTCTAAAATAGTAATAAAAAAAATTAGCCTTTTTCACTACTCTTTTCCTGAATTCCACCTAACACTTGGTCATGAGTATCTTATGTGGTTCTTGCCCACAGAAGCACAGCCGAGAAATAAAACGGCATACTGCAATGGCTTCAAAGACTTCTTTAACGTATTCAAAAGCAAAGATATCAATTTGAGGGCCGAGGTATACTTGGCCCGTGTTTAAGCCATTTTCCTGTTTTCTTTGAATATCCAGTAATTTTGAATTGGATGTTGAACATTTTGCATATGCACATTTTGTTGTCAATCTCTGAAAATTGTACTGGTAAATAGTTAAACTGCTCGAGAACAGCTTGAATCTTTTCAGTGTTTTTTTCAGGTTGGTTGGTTTGTTTTTATACTGGCATTATCTTTTTCTTTTTTTAAAAAAAATTCTATCATTTTTTAAAAAAAATTCTATCAAAAACAGTGTATTTGAGTTTTGTAAATAGATTAGTATAATTTAAAAAACAACGCATACGGACTTTGTAAATAAACTAGTATATATTCTAAAAAAACCATGATGGAATAAAAAATTGATGGAGTTTTCTTTTTTAAAGTAGGAATAAGTTCCCTGAATGCTACTCCTAATGAGTGTCCTTTCTGGGGACTCTATAAAATGACCATTGTATCCAACAAAGTAACTCTGCTTTGGCTGGATAGAGCCAGAACATCTCACATAGTCTAGCTGCATGTCCTAACACTCCTAGCCGCTTCTAAGTAGCCCTCAGTTACTCTATGTTCTAGCCACAAAACTTCACCATACACGTGCAGCTTAATATCCAACCCAAGACGCAAAGGTATCCTTCTGCAGATTTCTGAATCTCCTTGTCTGCATCTTCTATGGTAAACAACTTTGAAAATTCCAGATACTCCAATCTCCTTTCCTGTACTGGGATTTCTATCTTCTCAGCTCAACAGGACTGCCTGCCTGCTCCATGTGGGCCCTACACTGGAATTCTGTTTCAGAATTCAAGGAGACAGCAGGTTCATGTAATTTATTTTCCTCCTGTCTAGGATCACAGTCCTGTCCTGGTTGTTCCCAACATTTAAAAACAATTGTTTCCTATATTTATGACCAAAGGGTTATTCTGATACCAGTTATATTGTAATGGTCAGAAACTGTCAACTTTATAGTGGCTAGATAATGAACAGCACATTAGATCTGATGATGAGAAGAACTGTCCAAAAGGAATATATGATAAGGCATTATTTGTATGACAACAATGTGGAACAAGGTGTGCACGGCAAGGTGGACTGTGGAAAAAGGAAAGGGGGGGGGCGAAATGTGCAACAATGAAAAAATGAAACATTTTCTATGTTAAAAAATTTTGAATAACCATATTTTTCTGGCAATACTTGTTTAAGAACTT